GGAATATGCGTGGTATGTTTCCTCGAACACTTTTTTTTAGATTACTCAAACTTACTCAACCCTTAAAAACCACTCTGAGGGTATAAAAAGTATAAAGTTGTCGACAACTCGGTAGGTGATGTCCCAGTTTGCGTTTTTATAATCGTAACTTTATGAGTTTTTCAAATTTCTAAATGTACTTTTAATTACGTATTTTAATTTGAGCCGGGGGAAAGGAGCATCCCATTTTGAAATTAAACGCGATATTTCCTGAAAAAGTTAAATTTGTTCGGCCCCGGGAGTTGTTTCGAAATTCCAGTCTAGAATGAAAGTTTTGCCACACGTTTTCAGTTATTTGGCGAAGTTTAAGGCCCGGCAATCGAAAGGATCGGGCGAACCTTTCGCCGTTTGTCCCGTTGCGGGAAACTTTTCCACCTTTTATTACCTCCATCAGGCAGCTCTGATGTTCAGAGCGCGACAGAATTCGATGAAAGTAGCTACGGAACCGAGAGAGGCTCTGCTCCCGTTCCTGGAGCCTCTTCCCGTAATCGATTCCCCCTGTCACCTATTTCCTGAGTTGCCCAAGCCGATTCTTTCATTTGCCAAACCATAGATTGGACCACAACCTGTTATCTGCACTTGGCTCGATTCGTTGCAGGCAACCATAACATAAATACGATCGAAATCAAATTCTTCACGCGTCCTCTCTCTACACCTTGACGTGTAAATATTTTTTAAATACCAAATAAAACGTTGGCCTCTTAAAAGGAAAGTTTGTTAGGGCACGCGCTACGGGAAGTACATACATTTAAGTTTTTATCAGAGGAAGGCTCGTTCCAAACGCGATAATCATCATTGGTTATAGACCACCAAACGGAAGCAGGTCGAAATTCAATTATTCTAGCCTCGTTTCGTTCGCTCTCATCGTTCCTTGTCGTTCACTCTCTTCGTCGAGGAGTGTTTGCATAGTTTACGGTTCCGCGCGGGAAGACATTATTTTTTATTTTTATTTCCATCCCATTTTTCCGATCTAATCTCCCTTAAGTGTAATGTGTTTAGGTTAACGATACTGTGATGCCATTTTTATAACATGACCACCATTGTTACCTACCTCCGGCTGAGGTTATGAAAAGGTCAGGATTTCGAAGAGCCTCATTGTTACTTCTACTCGAAGCGACTCAAAGTTTATCAAAGTAATCTTCGTTTTATAAAGTCAAACTATATTTCCTTTGCTTTGTACTTATAACTGAAATGAATACTCTTTAAAAAAAATTGGAAGTCAAATTACATTGGCATCGTTGCACCCCCGCCACGGAAACGTTGGTGAAAGGGGGTGCAAAAGGCCAACGCCATGGAAAAATGGCGTAATGTCGTCACTTTGTGTTTGATTAGCAGACCACTTGGTTCTTGTACTTGGTCCTCCTACGATTCTCCCGAGTTCCTAACAGCCAGCGATGCAGCGCCCCACAGTCTTTAGCAGAGACACTAGCTTATAGACTCAGCCGTAGGTATTGTTTTATTGAGTTTTAATAACCAATTTGTCTTGTTTAGTCCCCTGAAAAAGGGTGGTCCTTCGAGCTTAGTTTTAGTCGACACACCACGTGCAAACTTTCAATATCAACCACGGATTAAACACTCTTTAAAAAAATAGAATCCACCATTGAAATTTCACGTATCTCTGATGGGCTGAAAAAGTTGACTTTCGGTTACAGCGTATGAAAGGGTTAGGATTACAAATTTTTACTCCCAGACAAAGTATACTTTCTGTGCTTTGTACTTATAACTGAGTACTCTTTAAAAAAATTAGAATCCATGATTAAAATTTCACCCATGTATCCTCGATAGAGCGAGAGATTCGACTTCCGTTTCTCGGAGATCCGAGCTTGCATCGTGATCGCGGTGGTCTGATCCTTAACGGTCATTGTGAGAGCTAACAATTTCGCTTTTGCCAGTCCCTGGGAGATCAAAACGGTTCATTGCCGGATCAGAGTGTACCCTGGCTCGTAAATAAAGGGTCTGACTTTTCCCTGGACGAGACGGGCCCGGAGGGTTTATTCGCGACACATGGAAACGGAGGACTATGGCTGGGCGTGGTTGCTCGCCTCTAATATCCTAAACCATAACGCCGGCGGGCGTGATTTGTGAGAACGATAAATCCGCTCGGAACTTAAGTCCGATCGTGAATACGATTTACGACGTCGTGATTTGTAGGCGCCTGGATTTCCCAGGACGCGATGATACGACGCTCGGATAAGTTGTCGTTGCATCGTTGGCCAGTTATGGGGGTGAACTCGTTTCGTTTCGTGACGATGTACGGTTCCCCGGAGTCTATTTCGACGCTGAACGTTAATGAGCCGACAAGCAAACTGAATTACGACAAGGAACGGGATCAAACGGCATCGAAACCTGATAGGTGTTCGAGGATTATGCGATTACTACCCGGAAGCGATGGCATTAGCCGACCATCGGAGAACGAGAACGGAGAAGTAGAGGACTTTAACGATTTCCAGTCGTACTCGAGTTCTTTTCTTAAAATGGCTTGGGGTCACCGGCGACCCTGCAATCGTTAGTGCATCCAGGAACTCGGGGAGATTCGATTGAAAGTTTTATAATGATTCATCGAATTTCGTCTATTTTAGAACAAACGAGTGCATATGTATAGTTACTGAAGGGAAATTTCGAGAAAATAAATATTGGTCGGATGCTCGTATCGATCAAATTTCTTGATTTAATGAAACGAAACTGGACCCGAGCGAGCTTCAGCCAGATTTTCCGTCGTTTGATGAAGAGTTCGGTAAATTTTTCATCACCGTGAATAAACACTCGATTCCAGGAACAAGCATATTAATTTTGAATTATTTAGACAAAGAAAAAAAAAGAAAAAAAATTTTAAATTATAGATCAATAGCCCAGATATTACGTTTCCATGAGCAACGAGAAAATATAAAACAGTATATGATAATTGTCAAACACAGGTTTTACACGCACAGTTGCAAAATGGATATCGAAGAAATCAAACAAATTTTATTTATTAATACAAATATAGCGCAAAATAAACCTGAGGAACAAAAGTAAATTTATGGTCGATTCGGGGGGTTGAATGGACCCGCGACATAAATCACGCGCCCTCGCGATCTGTCATTGGCTAATAACTGGAGATCAAGTTGCTATGTGTCATAGGTTTCATTGGTAAGAGCAGGCTTATGCCCGATATTGCATTATGGGAAGAACGAAGATATTGTCCCGACGGATTTAGCTGAGTGCGGAAAGTTTCCATGCTTTCTGGTAAGAGAAGCACGTGGATCAACGCGGCACTTGCCTCCGAAACGTCGAACGATGCCAGTAAAGCGAGCCATTTTTTCCTTCGCGAGCCACAAAGGAAGGAAAGTATCCGTAACCAAGAAAAATTGTGCAAAAATTGTTTCGCGAAAATACGTTGTAAGAACGCGCGAGACTAACGGAGGGTTAAATAAACGAACAAAAATGTGACTGGTATTAATGGAACGTAGATGCCGCGATATGGGATTTAATTTGTACAAATATTTAGAACGAAGACCATTTTTAACAGGCGATAAAACACGATTTCTGTGGGGCACAGAGTCGAGTGACGATGCAAAACGAAGGTTGCAACTGACGTGATTTACGGTAGAAGCAATGACCTTGGCAGGCTTTTAAACTGCTCTTTTTGGTATACGAAAATACAGAAAATCTGACGTTTCGTACGTATCGATCTAATAATACTCGTACGTAGGAACCGGGACTTTGATCTACCGTTCTGAAAATGTAGGTTAAAATCGAAGGAGGATTGAGTGGATCCCTTGTCAGGTGCGTGAGAATGGGAAAGGGAAATCGTGTTCCGGCGAGTCGAGTGTAACCCGCAGTTCTGTGCTTTCCGTCTTTAAAATATAACATTAGGGTAATGGGAACACGAAACGAAGAGACGAGAGATAAAGCCTCACGCGACATGACGTGGGTAGCCCTGAACGGTGACCCTGTTCGAGGCCAATTGATATTGCCAAAACGTAACCACTGGCAAAGAAGACAAAATACGCGCTGACTCAGCTTTCGCTATTGAACTGCGATCAAATGACGATCGTGGGGTAGGTCTGAGGATGCGTGAAACTGGTGAAAATAAAACAGAAAAAGAAACGCTCGCTTCGAACGACTTTCTTTCCTAGCAAAGCTGTGGTTGAATTAAGAGGAGGAAATACTGTGACGGCTGGAAATAAAGCCAATTTTCAAAAATTTCTTGGGCGTAACCATGAAACTCTTTCTGATAAATGTTTAATGTTTTCGAAAGTACATTTCTTGAACTACTTCTTCTAAAAATTTCGTACAAAAATATTAATTATTATAGCCATGGTAGGAACCAGCGTGAGAGGTCTCCAATCATTTTTTATGAATTTTGATGAAAAGTTTCAAATAATTCTGGAAAAATTATTTTTGGTTGCGGGGGTCGATTACAATCATTTTTGGTGAATAGACATACCCCCGAAATCCTACGCGCTTTCGAGAAAAAAATTCAGGAAGGTGTGCGAATTTTTTGGCGAAATTAAAAAATTTCAAATCGTACTAAAAAAAATATGTTTGGTTGCAGGGCTCAATTATAGTCATTTTTGGTCAATAGACATACCGCCGAATTCCTACGCACTTTTGCGAAAAAAATTGCTCACCGAAAATACAATGTCTGACCATACATTGATATGCTTCACTGAAATTTCATGCGTATGTTTAAAATATCATAACTCCTGAACGGATTGGACGATTTTAAAGTTTCAAAATGCAAACGACGCGTATTTTGGCGAAGAATATATAGAAATTCTCCGAAAGTTCGAAATGTTGTCCCTTAGCTTTGATTTTCGTCTTATTGTGGCCTCTAAAATCTGTATAAAGGAAATCACGTTGGTAATTTCTGGTACTCGTCTTTAATATTTTAAGGTGCAAGAATTTGTAAAGCTTACGTTCTAGCTTTGTTTACTTAGAAAATGTTTCTAATCTTGTTAATTTCGTGTGATCGACAGGGCGTGGAAAGCCAGTACGACGTCGATGGCGTCTTCGAGTGTCTTCCCTGCGCCGAGGGTTGCGAGTTCTGCGAGGACGATTCGCCATGCGTGGTGTCCTTGAACTGGCTGATGAGGACCGCCATCCTGATCCTGGAGTGCTGTGTCATTGCCTGTTTGCCGGCCGTCGCTTTGTTCACTTGGAAGTACGGGAACGTGAAGGTAAGTGGACGAAAGTTCTGTAATGCTTCGGATCTTTGTATCCCTTCCATAGTTAATCCTTCTTACAACTAGATGGAACTTCTGAATCCTTCGCTTATAAACGGGCGGGGGTCTTAAGTCTGTCCACCAGAAATTTCTCTGCTATCTTCTTGATAGACGAAACGAGATTGAACCCGAAAGAGTCCTCGTCGCAATCTGGACCATAATCCACTCGCGGTATCAAAGCATCCAGAATTAATTTAATTTAATTCATCCCTCCATCACCTATTTTAACAAATTTTATTCAATTTTTTTCGTTTACATTAGTTAAAGATAATACGTGGTATTCCAAAACTGAAGTTCGAATTTCAAATATTTTTGTTCATCGATCGGTCCGCTTCGTTATACACGAGCATTTTGACTCTCTCGGTGTTGGTAATCCTCCACGCCGATTCTAATTCCCATAATCGTCAGAATATGTAGCAATTAGGTATTGTCATCATTAACAGTACATGGAGCCATTACTGCAATAATTTGGACGATCTTTACGCCGCTTGAGAACGCTTTCGGAGACATCTTTCACCCAAGGGAGTTATAAATTTATTGTTTTGATAATACGCGTGCTGTTTTAATTCCGTACCACTTCCGGACCACTCCAGAAATATACTAGAAATATCAATTTTAGCTCCATGAACGTAAATAATTTTCTAGAAATATTTTCCCCCGCGAGAATGGGCATGTTCGATAGATCGATATTCCCCTTCTCCGTGCACTCTTAGTTTCACCAGGGACGAAGAGTCCTTGGGCCAATAAATAATGAAACACTCCTGAACTTGGTTATCGCCCGTCATGAATAGTCACCTGTGAAGTTGAAACCTTTTCGACGAGCAAGTGCAATCTATCTGCGGAACGACACGGAGGATGAACGATACACATCGCGATATCATCGGCGTCGGTTCGATTCAAAGTGTGTTTGCTCGATTCCGCGGGCGTGATCGTGTTACAGCTTCAAACACAATTGCATAAAGGAGCCGACGAGGTTCGTCCGACTGAATGGAGCGACGTAATGCCAGGCTATTCTCCGTCAACGAAAAACGGGAAGTGGTACTTTGGGACCTTCGGTTCGAAGAGCTGGCCTCGACACCGCGCGGGGAACTCTTTCCATGACGCGGAACGAGTGCTCCTGTTGCTAGATCCGATCGAATCGGTTTCCGGTTTTCTTTGTCCGTCTCCAGCCGCGCACAATGGCATTTTCTGGATACATCGTTGCACCGTAAAGGAATCGAGTCTACGTAAAATTGCGTTCTACTAATTCATGTTTCTCGTTTTAATCACGGGCGTTGTTTATCAGGTTTCGCTAATAGTACAAAGATCTTTCGTGAATCCTTTAATTTCCATTGCGATTGTATTACGTGGATTCATTAAACGAGATAATTATTCTCGTCTACGAAACAAAAAAAGGTCTACGCCTACTGTGGGTATAAAAAGTATTTGTACAGCAATTAATTTCAACAAAAACTTTACAGAACTTTGTTTATTATAAAAGAATGTATACGTATTATTGGAAATCTCGAGAACAAAGTTTATTTATGTTTTCTATGAAAATATTAACAAAAGTCTGGAATGTGTTTAAAAAATACATAAACAGTTTAAAATATGCACTATTAGAAGAATGAAATAAAATTCTCAACGCTATCGGCAAAAAGTTAGTGAATTCAATGCCACGAAGGCTCGAAACAATTATACAATCAATAGGCAATCCCGCTAAATACTAAATTTTTTATGTATAAAATGTTCTTTATGTATGTAATGTTCTTTATATTGTAAGAAGTGTATGTGTGTTTGGACCGTTGGCGTCGATGGTGTTTAGGCTATGTAAAATCCACATTCGTAGTTCCTTACACATTACATCTTTTCCACTAAAGGGTTCGTGGCGTCGCCTCCCATGCTCGCCACCAGAGGGGTCGCGCTCTCACAAGCGCTCGACCGACCCCTTGGTTGGCGTCGATCATGTTTAGTCTAAGTTAGAGTAGGTATCGAGTGAGGTGTTTAGGTTTAGGTGAAATGCGTTCGGGGGACTCTGCGCCTCGAACGTGCGTTTCTTCAGATTATTATGTATCATGAAGATAGGAATAGGGAAGGTTCGACTTTGACTGTAGGAACTCACTCTGCATCGAACACTAGTCGAGAGCAGTTTCGGTTTTACGTTTATGGTTTCTTACGTTTACGTTTTATGTTCTTTATGTTAAATAGTTTTTTAGTAACATTAAATAATATAGTTTATATAATTGCCTTTATTGTCCAAGTGTTTGAATCCGACCATACGCCTCTAACCATCCTCGACAATCCTTACAATACATATAAAATTAACAGTCTTTGTTATCAAATTAGAACGGTACAAATAGTTATTACTATTTTCGACCACATTCAATACTTTTGCTAATATCTCCATAGAAAATATAAATAAACAATTTATTCTTGAGATTTCTAAGAACATGAATGCATTTGTTGGATTCCAATAGAATTCACAACACTTTATTTGAGAAGAGAAACTCGTACAACTATTAGGTCGACTAAATACTAGACTCTATCTGCCGGTTTTTCAGTATTGCAAGCTTTTATACGCTATTGGTGGAGATAGGTAGAAGTAGAGACGATGGTCAAGGGACAGTGTGACTCTGGAAGATTAGAAATCGTGACTAGGATGTTTGGATGAGTAATGTTTGTCACGGAGTGATGTTTGCATGGTCGTGTTGGTCCATCCGACACATAGTTTTGTTGGCATTTCTTTTGTAATAGACGAAATTTTATTTTTTGTTGGATTTGACTGCTGCACCAATGCTTTTTACACTGTATAGATGCTGTTTTCTTCAGTTTACGTGTTAAAAATATCAGAGTGTAGATCTATGGATCCACGTAGTGGGACCTTTTCACGTTCGCCTGATTTGCGGTCGAAGCGTCGATCGAGTGGACTCGCAACGAATGGGAATTAACAAATATTACGATTATAGCGTCGACGTCGGTGGCGATCCAATCGTCGAGCGCAATTAAAAAGACAGAGGCGTTATTCCGCTGACGAGGCGCGTTCTGGCCGCGCAGACCGCATTGCCTTTCGCGTTTTCCGCTAATTGCTCGTTTCGCGCGGGCCGCGTTTTTGCCGCCGCGCGGTAAATAACGCGTTCCCCGAGCGGAAAGCGGCCAGTCGCGACTCCCGGAAATGAAAAGTGCGGTCTTATTCCCCAATTTTCCGCCAAGGAATCCAATTGTTCGTGAAACTTATTCACAGAAATCGTCGTACTGTTTATACAATTCTACTTACAGTTTTGAGGGTACAGGTTTCTCGCAGTCGAGATTGCCGCCTAGATCCACGGAGTCGTCTAATTAGGCTTAACTGCAAGAATCTGCAACCGTCCGCTCCACCTACGCGAACTTTCCCTTCTGCAAACATTTAAGCCGCGGTGTCAGAAGTCAGAGCTTCTTCCGTTAACAAGATAGTCGTAATGGGATTCTAATGAAGACTGATGATCCTAATTCCGTACAGCCACACACCGTACACTGTATCCATGACTTGCATTCCTGAACTCGAAGCATGCGATTCTCACGAGACACGTGTAGCTTGAGGGGTTACTCCCTCGTGACACGAGTCGTAAAACGAACGACCTTTAACAATTTTTTACATGAATAATACACGAACCCTTCCACCGTAATTCGTTTTGCTTTTCAACGTGCTTACGAAGACGCTACATGATTTTTTTTTCATGTAAATTCGTCCAACAATATACGAGTTACAGTTAATTTGTTATTGTCTCGTGGAATAATACATATGATAAATAATATTGTCGAATCGTTTTTTACAATTGCTTTGTAATATTGCTATATTTCGAAATATTTTCAACGGAACAGCCCACAGACACGCTGCTGCAATAATGTTCGAACGCGTTCGAAACAGTTGCAACGCAATATTGCGTATATTGTTATAAAATTGCAAACGTGACCGGAACCTTCGCGATATTGTACCTCTGCAATATTTAAACAATTGGCAACGCTGTTGCAGAAATTCCTTCTGTTCTCGCTTTTAATAATCGAAATTTCTAACGGAATATAGTAGAAAATGAATTCGTTGTAATAAAATAAAAATCGACAATGAAAACTTCAGGACAAAAGTTTCTACAATTTATTAATACGCCCACTTTGGTGCAACAGGTGGTTGAAAAATAACGGGAACTAAGGTGACTAGAATGTGTAATATTTTTTAGAACATTTTATAGCTGGTTTGGATTAGGGAAAAGTTTGTTTTTCTCAGATGTGTATAGATTATAGAAATTTATAAAAATTTTTAAACCTGTTCATTAAATTTTCTTTGTGTATAGAGATCAATTAATATTTCAAACGACTGGTGAACATTGTAACGAACAAAATTGCTGTACAGAGGACTTAATAGCGGAGGGATGTCGGATGATCTTGGATGGGTCTCCTTAAATCCGAAGAAGGAGTATGGCTTTCTGGTCGCGGCGTCGATGCTCGGCTAGAACCGCCGCAGGTTAATAAATTCCCTTTAATTAACCGGAAACGGCCCGAAACCTAAGCTCTGAGGCACTTCCTCCAACTACCAGCGCGAGTTGTTACGGAAATTTATTACACGAATCGCCCAAAGACAGAATCGTTTCCGCCGGGTTTAGGAGTTTCGCGTCTAAGTCGACGCTGATAAGATTTCGATGCGGTAAAACGGATTACGGACGCTTATCGTAAGCAAGATCTCGGCTCTCGAGTCGTCTGAGAGGTAATTTTTAAGCGTCTGCGAACTGTTCCACGCTAAGACGGGGCCTTAGACTTTCAGACGATCTCGAAATCGATAGCAAAATTTCGCAGGAAAACAGTGGAATATTTCTCTAAATACAAGTAGAACAACTGTGGTTACAATTGTGAAAAGATTGCTTTAAAATTGGATCAAATTTGGATATTCCTGTAAAAGTGTTAAAATTTTTTGCAGACTCGTTGATTCGATGTTCTCCACCCAAAGG